TCCGGCCCTCAGACGGCGCCTCAGTCCGGCCCTCAGACGGGCGGCAGAGTGGAGGTTCTGACTGATCTGTTCAGAGGACGCTGCTCCATTGAGGACAGCAGAAGCTGTGAGGCTGAGCTGGAGGAGGAGGAGCCTTCAGATGGAGGACCCGATCAGACGGAACCTCCTGGAACCTCTCAGGAGAACCCAGCCCAGCCACCAGGTAACTAGTCCACCAAAGGATTGGACCAGGCAGGGTGGCCCCCGTGGCCCCCGTGGGTTACCAAACTACAGCTCAGCTAAACTCCATCCTTGCTTTATTTTTTCCCATAGATCCAAAGCAGGTTGGAGCCCCGCCCCCTCACAGAGTCGGTGATTCCATCAGCAAGCTGTCCCAGAGAGGAGAGGATGAAGATGAGGAAGACGAGAACAACCCAAAGAGATTTCAGAGGATCAAATCCAGGTTAGCTGCCGTCAGCCTAGATAAACATGGAGAGCAGCCATGTTGGCGGTTGAACATCCACGGACTTCAGAGGCAGAGACGGTGAGCTGGGGGACCTTTCTGTTTCTCTGCAGTCATGAGATGGATGTGGAGGAGGGACCGGGGAGACCGGAGGGACGAGAGGGAACGGAGAGACCGGAGGGACCGGAGAGACCGGAGGGACCGGAGAGACCGGAGGGACCGGAGAGACCGGAGGGAACGGAGAGACCGGCACAGAGTCCTCAGCAGGTCTGGACTGAACTAGGACTGAAACACCAGCAGGAGCCTCAGTAAGTCTGTCTTCTGCCCAGAGCTCCAGGAAATGATGTCATCATGACAGGACATGCAAGGCCAGAAGTTTCCATACAGCCTCTAAAAAGACGTGACGCCTGAATGAGCTGCTCCATCTTTAGGGTTATTTCCAGGTGTCCTTCCAGAGGGCCCGCCATGTTGGAGCCTCCAGCCGCTCCTCACCCTGTCCCTCAGATGGGCAGAGGGAGCCTCCAGCCGCTCCTCACCCTGTCCCTCAGACGGGCCGCTCCTCACCCTGTCCCTCAGACGGGCCGCTCCTCACCCTGTCCCTCAGACGGGCAGAGGGAGCCTCAACCACTGTCTGATCTTTCATGACGTTCCTGAGGAAAGATATACTTCAATCTTTCCTTTCACTGACAGAGGAATCAGGAGAAGCTCCTCAGGTCTGATCTCCTCAGGTCTGATCTCCTCAGGTCTGATCTCCTCAGGTCTGATCTCCTCAGGTCTGATCTCCTCAGGTCTGATCTCCTCAGGTCTCATTCTTCGTCTTTTCTGAAGCGTTTGGAAACTTCTGGCTCCAAATGTTTCCTCTGAGGTTTACAGGAAATGAATTTATTACGTTTTATGATGCAACAAATGATGGCGGCTCCTGATTCTCTAGCTAACCCCTCCAGTGTTATATAGGTAACTATGGCAACGGAGAAGTCATCACTACAATAAATGAATAAAGAGGCTGAAAATAAAAATCTGTTTTAAATGAAATGGATTCAGTTTTCTGCAGATTTCAGTTCAGTGATCGCCATGGTTACCAAATCATCATATTGACTGTGAGAGTTAAGCTAACAATGAAAAACTCAGTGATAATAAATGTCTTTTAGGTTTGGCTCTGTAATTAGCTACAACAGCCCTAGGCGTCGGAAAGCTACGGTGGCCAGGAGGGTCAATAAGCACATCCGATTCTCTGAGACCGATGGAGGCGTGAGCAGTCAGGGCAGCCTCCTCCTCCACAAGGTACGCAGACTGACTGGTTCCACAGCAGAGGAGCAGCTTTGGTAGACCTGCTGGTAGGCCTGCTGGTAGACCTGCTGGTAGACCTGCTGGTAGACCTGCTGGTAGACCTGCTGGTAGGCCTGCTGGTAGACCTGCTGGTAGACCTGCTGGTAGACCTGCTGGTAGGCCTGCTGGTA